GTAGCACAGAGAGAGGGGCATTAGCTGTGAGTAGCGCAGAAAGAGGGGGGCATTAGCTGTGAGTAGCACAGAAAGAGGGGGGCATTAGCTGTGAGTAGCACAGAGAGAGGGGCATTAGCTGTGAGTAGCGCAGAGAGGGGGCATTAGCTGTGAGTAGCACAGAGAGGAGGGCATTAGCTGTGAGTAGCACAGAGAGAGGGGCATTAGCTGTGAGTAGCGCAGAAAGAGGGGGGCATTAGCTGTGAGTAGCACAGAAAGAGGGGGGCATTAGCTGTGAGTAGCACAGAGAGAGGGGCATTAGCTGTGAGTAGCGCAGAGAGGGGGCATTAGCTGTGAGTAGCACAGAGAGGAGGGCATTAGCTGTGAGTAGCACAGAGAGAGGGGCATTAGCTGTGAGTAGCGCAGAAAGAGGGGGGCATTAGCTGTGAGTAGCACAGAGAGGGGGGCATTAGCTGTGAGTAGCACAGAGAGAGGGGCATTAGCTGTGAGTAGCACAGAGAGAGGGGCATTAGCTGTGAGTAGCACAGAGAGAGGGGCATTAGCTGTGAGTAGCGCAGAGAGGGGGGCATTAGGTGTGTCGCTTATTCCACGCGAATTTAGGAGAGTCACTTATGGACTGAGACCAGAGATCCCACTCATTCACTACTACTACCCAGCCGGCTCGCTGAGCCGCAAGACTCGTTCTAAGGAGGGTCCTGCCCAGTGTCGGCAGTGTGGGCTGGGTGACGTTGCTGCTGCTTTGTGCTCCAGACTGAATAATCCGTCATAATGTCTGAACACTGCGATGTTTGGCCAATGTCAGTGACACTGTGTGTTTTGTTTCGTAGCATACAGCCATCGTAGATGTTGTTTTAGATGTTAACCATTGAAAGAGTTAATAATTGAACTCAATACACTATTAAAATATTAACTTACTTCTTGTTCGCCGCGTAGACAAGTCGATACCATGAATGTTTTACCACCCCCGTGGCTCCCATTGCTGCTGCTGTTAATTTGTGTTAACTTTACGCAAGGAACTAGAGACCCCCGGCATAACGTGTCTGGTACACGGGGTAACGAGATAAACCAAAAACCTACACACGCACACTGTGTAATCGATATTGGCCAAAAACACCCCAATGCTGAAACATTACCTGCTATTTATTCAGTCGGGATCACACACCAGCAACATCACCACCCGTGCCCCCTCTCCATCCCCCCGGGCCTCCACTTACTGAGAAAAAACTTGGCAGGACCCTCCTTAAAGAGCCTTGAGCAGTGTGTGTCCGTGTAGAATGTAGAGCTCTGTAGCAATTTGTGAATTAAGAACGAAACGAAAGAAGTTTATTTAGCAGGTAAAGCCGACTGAGCGGGCTGATATCATCAAGTGGCTGATATCATCACCATCATCATCACACGTCGGAATTTATGGCAGCAGTAGCCACACAAATTGAAGGCGTGTTGTTTCCAAACGTGCAGGAAGGCGGAAAAACCGGAGGAACCCGGAGGGCAATCCACGCGATTACCACGGGGAGAGAGAAAACACGCGGACTCCAAATATACAACAGGAATCGTCGGGTACGGGATCGAACCCACGGCCTCCTGCGTACCAGGCGAGGGAGATAGCCTCTCCACGCCACCCTGTGTGTTCAGTTAAAATCAACGCCGGCTTGAATCTATCACCGGTGCGTGGTGGTGACGTGCGTCTGTGCGCCAGCGCTTACGAGGTGAGGTGTCGGTGGATCACGTCGAGATTCGTCAAACTGGCGATCCCGCCGAGCTGCGAGGCGGTGGCCAGGAGATGGTGGTAGACCACGTGTGTTCGTGAACCCGTCTGTATGTACCTGTGACGTGTGATCACCTCGCAGGCTGGATGGGTTTACGCCGAATATACCGGTTTGTTGCCACACACAACACGCCCTCCGGAGAAAGAGTTGTTGACATCAATGAGATCACTGTCATTATTATGAATTCCACGAGCAGCTGCGCTGTGACGAGATGTATTCAGGCACGCAGTGTGGTGAGCCATGATGATGATGGGGTCACGGCACGTCGCTATTGGGGATGATGGACGGTGGTCAAGAGTAGTAACGGAGTGGCAGCCAAAGAAAGGAACGCATCCCAGAGTACGTCCGCACAAAGGAAATGGAGCGATGAGATTCGTTAATTTCCGGTGCAGGTTCCGAGTGGGGTTGTTGCATCACAGGAGCGTGAGAGGTGGCGGCGCCGGCGTCTTGGGGAGGGAGGCCTTCATCCAGCAGCGGATTGATCATGTCCTGTTGACGTTGATGGCTCCACGGTGTGCGCCTTGCCTCTCGCCGCGCGTCTCTCGCGCCCCCTCGCGGACACCACTCGCTCCTGCGATACAAAGCAGCTGAGCAATGCGACAGCCAGCATCTTTCTAAAGTAAAACGATCACACATTTTTATTTTACCAGGTAAGGCCCACTGAGCTACGTAGCTGCTTTTCAGAAACCACTTGGCCACAAATGATAGCTCAACAAAGTGGCCCATCATTTGGACATTCAGAGCACCAAATTAACCTAAACAATCTTAATGCGTGTTTCTAAATGCGGAGGGGGAAAAATCGGAGGGCCCGGACAAAAAAATCCACGCGAGCACTGGGAGAGAGACACAACAAACTCCAAATATACAGCAGGCGTCAGGGTTGGGATCGAACCCACGACCTCCTCCATCCCAGGCGAGGGAGATAACATCTCGCAGCAGCACATACGTTTAAGAGGGGGGGGGGGCAAAAATCGGCCAAAATCGCGTGAAGTCATTTATGGACGGCCCCTAATCTCATATCAAGTCTACCGAGGCCATACAGACGACTTGACCACTGTAAACAAACTCGGCGTTGCCCTCCATCTCACAGACACACACGTGGGCGGTGACGCGGCTCGCTTTGTTATCGAGCTTCACGGCTCGAATCAAGCGTCCGCCCTGATTAATGATGCCAGTGTTATTAATTCACCATCAGAGCACACGAACGTCTGATTCGCAGTGGACGTTAAAGATACGCTGACGTCATTCGAAACGAGAAGGCAACTGACGGTGGTCATGGGCCAAATTTGCCAAAATGACACCGTCAATTACATCAATTGGGATTTTACACAACCAACCATCGCGCCTCCCATCCAACTGCGAAAACTTGGCAGGACCCAGGCTTTCGTGGGTGAGCAAGCATAGTACCAACCACAACATCATGACGACATACACATGGTTCACACGATCTTCTCGAGTTACCTGCCCGGGGGGAAGCGAGGCTCTTGGTTCAGGAACTTCATGAATTTTCGACCTGTCTTTGTCTCCGTGATTGCGCAACTTTGGGTGATGTAACTTTACGAGTGACGGCCAGGATGCGAGTGTGGAAGCGTCGCGGTTGTCACCGATCCTACAGCGGCGCCCCATCCAGTGGATTTGAGTAATCCTGATTGTGCGGTCGAGGCAAATCACCCGAAGGTTCAGCCAGGTCCCGAGTTTTTGCCTGTTTCAACAAATGCCGCTGTAAGACACGTGGCCCCACGGTAGCCCCCGCATTGGGCTGGAGGCTTTAAAAGAGTACAGTGCACATATGTAATATATTACATGGCGATATGGTTCCAAGGTCTGTGGCGTTTAATATAGCCTCGCCTTGCGTTGGATCACGGTCAGAGATCAATCATGAGAATCCACATCCCCGTGCAATGAGTTGCGCAAAAACGGGCAACTCCCTATCAGCTCTCTCTGTCTCTCTGTGTGTCCCTCCGTCTCCCTGTGTCCAGTCCCGTGCTCGGTCCTTCTCCCACCTTGCACCCCTCCACTGGAAACACATTGTCCTGCGGAGGGAGCTGGTAGAAACGTTGGGTTGCTCGGTCAATGGCCTGCAGGGTCAACGGCGGCGTGGTGTATTCCACAAATATGGTCGACTGTGAGGGCGGGCACAAGCCGGCGTGAGTAGGTTAAACGTTGACTTTTATAAGGGCACCACGGGGTGACCAACCCCTCCCCACCCAGCCCCACCCTCCCCACCTAGCCCCACCCTCCCCACCCAGCCCCTCCCCACCCTCCCCACCCAGCCCCTCCCCACCCTCCCCACCCTCCCTTCCCCACCCAGCCCCTCCCCACCCTCCCCACCCAGCCCCTCCCCACCCTCCCCACCCAGCCCCTCCCCACCCTCCCCACCCAGCCCCTCCCCACCCTCCCTTCCCCACCCAGCCCCTCCCCACCCTCCCTTCCCCACCCAGCCCCTCCCCACCCAGCCCCTCCCCACCCAGCCCCACCCTCCCCACCCAGCCCCTCCCCACCCTCCCTTCCCCACCCAGCCCCTCCCCACCCAGCCCCACCCAGCCCCTCCCCACCCAGCCCACCCTCCCCACCCAGCCCCACCCTCCCCACCCAGCCCCACCCTCCCCACCCAGCCCCTCCCCACCCTCCCTTCCCCACCCAGCCCCTCCTCATCAGACGGCTGCCGACTCCGTCGCCGAGGCCGCCCCCTCGTCTCTCGTGGCCACTGCGCGAGGCATTTAAAGGCGGTAGCGTCACGCGGAGTCCCTCCCCCTCCTCCACCCCCTCCCCCTCCACCCCCACCAATTAGCGCGTTGCCTCCTCCCCCTCCACCACCACCAATCAGCGCGTTGCCTCCTCCCCCTCCACCCCCACCAATTAGCGCGTTGCCCTCCTCCCCCTCCACCACCACCAATCAGCGCGTTGCCTCCTCCCCCTCCACCACCACCAATCAGCGCGTGCCCTCCTCCCCCTCCCACCCCCACCAATTAGCGCGTTGCCTCCTCCCCCTCCACCACCACCAATCAGCGCGTTGCCTCCTCCCCCTCCACCCCACCACCAATCAGCGCGTTGCCTCCTCCCCCTCCACCACCACCAATCAGCGCGTTGCCTCCTCCCCCTCCACCACCACCACCAATCAGCGCGTTGCCTCCTCCCCCTCCACCACCACCAATCAGCGCGTTGCCTCCTCCCCCTCCACCCCCACCAATCAGCGCGTTGCCTCCACCACCTCCTCCACGCCCCACCACCCCCCTGGTCACGTAGCCGGCCGCCTTCTTCCGTTCACGACGGCCCCGGGGCACCATCGGCGGCGGCAGCAGCAGCAGCGGCAGCCTCTTCTCTCGAGAACAAAGACGAACACGGACGGAGGAGAGAGACAGAGAGATAAGAAGACGACGACGAGTATAGCACTAGAGAGAGCGAGCGAGCGAGAGCAAAGGGGACGACGGCGTCAGCCCGCTCCGGAAACATTCCATTCACGTCGCTGGAAGTGACATCGGCGGGGAGCCGGGCCGGAAGCCGCGTGGAGTCTCAAGCCCGCGTCCACCCACCACACCGAGGCGGTACCGTCCACCCGCTGTGGTCCACCAGCCGTAGTCCACCAGCCTTGCCCGTTAAGCGGCCTGGTCCACCACCGCCACCAACATCAACAAACAACGACAACTCCCCTCAGTTCTAATAGGCGAGCAACGCGATTCTGCTTCTCCGCCTTCCACAAGGTGAGTGAGTTCCCCTCGTCTCGTGCCGCCCTCGTCTGTCCCGTCTGGTTCGCCCCCAGAAGACCTATTTGACGGTCGGGGTCAAGTCGGGGTCAAGTGAGGGTCGCGTGGGGCCGGGTCATCATGCCAGCGGCGGCCGTGAAGATGTCGTGGGGCGCTGTGGTCGGGGGGGGGGGGGCGATTGGTGAACTCGCAGCGTTGTGCAACAGCAGCGCGTGGCGAACTATGACCCGCACCTGATGATGATGATGATTATAATCATGATTATAATCATCATCATCATCTTTCTGGACGGGTCACCGGCGTTGATCGCCTCGAGCTTAGCCCCCGACTCTGCTGATGCTGCTGATGATATAATGCTGCTGCTGATGATGATGCTGATGATAATGCTGCTGCTGCTGATGATGATGCTGATGATAATGCTGCTGCTGATGAGGCGGCGAAGGTCGAACCCCGGGCCACACTTGTGCTCGCTTCTCCGTCGGTACAGAGCGACACGCGCAGCAGGAGATGCCGCGTGTTGGGTCAACCATCTCTCTCCTCGTGTAACGTTCACCTTGTACATTTACGATGCCTGAAGGAGACCCAACACAGTTGTGCTCGTCTGTTATTGATGAGGGAGGTGACCCCCCCACTGCTCCGTTCGACCCCCGACCCCCCCCCCCCCCCGCGAGGGGATAAGGGAGACGTCGGCGGTGCCGTGAGCGGGGACCCCCTGGGGCCGGGAGGCGCTACCCCGGGGGGTCTCCTGCCACTGTGGTGGTGGTGGGGTTGTTGTTGAGAGATGGTCTACCCCGGGGTGGCTCCTGCCACTGTGGTGGTGGTGGGGTTGTTGTTGTTGAGAGATGGTCTACCCCGGGGTGGCTCCTGCCACTGTGGTGATGGTGGGGTTGTTGTTGTTGAGAGATGGTCTACCCCGGGGTGGCTCCTGCCACTGTGGTGGTGGTGGTGGGGTTGTTGTTGAGAGATGGTCTACCCCGGGGTGGCTCCTGCCACTGTGGTGGTGGTGGGGTTGTTGTTGTTGAGAGATGGTCTACCCCGGGGTGGCTCCTGCCACTGTGGTGATGGTGGGGTTGTTGTTGTTGAGAGATGGTCTACCCCGGGGTGGCTCCTGCCACTGTGGTGGTGGTGGTGGGGTTGTTGTTGTTGAGAGATGGTCTACCCCGGGGTGGCTCCTGCCACTGTGGTGGTGGTGGTGGGGTTGTTGTTGTTGAGAGATGGTCTACCCCGGGGTGGCTCCTGCCACTGTGGTGGTGGTGGTGGGGTTGTTGTTGTTGAGAGATGGTCTACCCCGGGGTGGCTCCTGCCACTGTGGTGGTGGTGGTGGGGTTGTTGTTGTTGAGCTACGGGGAGGAGGGAGAAGCCGGAGAACAGGAGGAGAGGGAAGAGAGCACCGCACGCCGAGAGGCGCCCCGGGTCGGGCATGGAACCCGGGCCCCGCGTGCAGCGAGGCACGGTGGTTGGCGCCAGACGTCGGGGCAGCTGCCCCGGCCACGAAGAGAGCGAGGGGGGGGGGGTTATATGGGAAGTGCAGCGGCAGGATTGTGTTCATTGCAATGGGGAGCGCAACTGCCCTACGAACCCAGCAAACCCGAGTTCGATTCACGCTCACGGCCAACATAGGTGACGAATATCTGACCCGAACCTGGCGAGGTGTGTGGACATCAGCACGGGGGAGACAAAGGCGGTCCGGCGTGGTCCTGGCCACCCACCCCATCGTACGCCATGCCGGCCTTCATAGGTGCTACTCGCTAACAGCAGTTGGCCAAACAGTCTGTTGCAGGCTACACAGGGAGGGGGGGGTATTTGTAAGTGCAGCAGGTTGGAAGTGCAGCGGGACATTGAGAGGTGTGGGCGCAGCGGGATATTGCGAAGTTGGCAGCAGGCGCCTTGTGTCACGTGGGGTGGACACCGCTGGAGGTGGTGGGACGTGCAGCAGGAGGCTGCGGTGGCGAAGCTGGTGGTGGTCGTGACGCCGCAGCAGCCTGCGTTGGTAGTTCATGGCAAGTGCAGCAGGTGACTTGGTTGTGCAGCAGGACATGTCGAGACGGGCAGCAGTGGAGTGCCGTGGCGGCGGGGGGGTGACCCAGTGACGGTGGTCACAGCCGACAGTCGATAAGGGAAGCCGCCTTGTGATGACCCAAGCATGTCCCACACCCTCGATGTTTCTCCAAATCTGCCGTGTCATGTAAGCGGCGGGAATAATAACTGAGTCACCATCTGCTGCGCGTGACTCTGGCGTAACAGTGTGCAAGAGACCGTGCAACCCGAGCAAACATCCCACACACATGCACCCCGCATCACTATGACATTAACACAACTCTCCGCTGTCACGGGGCTGCCGTCATAGCAATGTGGAAGTGTCCCGATTGGCTCGGGGCCACCACCAGGGACGACTGGTGGTCACAATGCCAGTTTGAGCAGTATGTGTGTCTGTAAATTGGACTTCTTTCCCACCGTACGTAGCCAACCCTGCTAATTGGAGGTGCGGGGGGAAGGACAACAAACTAAACACTTTGATTCTTGAACCTCCTTACAGTCATTCGTTCCTGCTCCTAACCTCTGGGACAGCTGCCACCGGGGTCGCCTACACACTCTGGTGTAAAGGACACTCTTCCAAACAGAAACGATGATTATTTTTACCGTATTGTTTGAAATGCCCGAGGAATATGAGTACAGCGCCCTGTACGTGCGGAGAGCACCGGCTGTTAGCGTCTTCTCTGACGCCGTCGCGTTGCGGCGGGGGTCTGTGCAGGCAGGACCTCCACCTCGAGCACGGAATAAACACCGGCGCAAGTGACGAGATGGAGCCGGAACTCGATGGGCCCGAGGTGGTGGCCGGGGCACCGGAGGCGGCGACGGTGGAGGAGGGCGCCGCCACCATGTTCGGCTCGCTGGACCTCCTGCTGCTGTCGACGATCGTGGGCTTCTTCATCTACTGGTTCTTCTTCCGCCAGCCCAAGGAGGAGGTGCAGGAGCTCAAGAAGCTTCAAATCCCGTACGTCGCCCCCCCCCCCCCCCTACGGTTCGCAAAACTTCATTTCGGTCGCATTGAACAGGATGTGGAGTTTTATTTTTGACGTACGCTAAAAAAATTACCGTCCACCGCCAACGGTGACAATTCATCATTTCTGTTACCCACGGAACCAACTGAGTCGGTTTCTTTCATGGCAGTACACTTTGAATTGGCGACGACTACTCGCACACATTGCCAGACTCGGTGTAAGAAGGGAAGCAGTTGTGTGAAGATGCTGCCCCCCCCCCCAACCATCAAGAATGTCAGGGATTAGAGGGCAAAGAGGCACAGTGTGAGACGCGTGCAATTTGGAACAACCAGGTCGGCTTGGATGGAAACAGCCTGGAACCCAATCGAGTGGCCGATTCGAGGTTTCACAATTACGGGAGTGCGTTACCGTGCTTACGCCAGGAGATTTGTCGTGTCGGATTGCAGGTGCCAAGAGGCTCAAACCTCTCGCGATGGGAAGTCGGCACGCGCAAGGGACACAGCCGGACAGGTTTTAAAACACGGGCTCGCGTTCAAACTCCAGCAGCCACGGATTGTTTTTCTTTCACGACAGGGTACAGATTGTGCCGTTACCGACGTAGATTAAATTCGGTGCGCTCTGCGTGGCTGCACTTTGGCATTGGCGTAGAACGCAGCGAGGCGCCATGGCGATTCGGGGAATGCTCTGTGCCTTTTGTCGGGTGTTTTGGCTTCACGCGATCTGCGTGCCGGTCGCCAGCCCAATGGCGCCCCGGCAAGGCCGGGGTAACCAAATAACTTTCTCGGCGGCAGACGTTCCCTCAGCGTGCGCGTCTGCCCGTAGACCCGGCTCAACCCGGCGGCGGGGAGTTATTACGCAAGTCGGGGCAGCACGTGCGCACTCAAGGACAGCTCGTGGCTTAGGGAGGGGGCAAAGTTCACGGGGAGCAAACTATTGTGAACGTCGTCCCGAGTTCACATACGCCCCTGCCTCCTGCAGTCACGTAGGCGCAGGCACGCACCATCGTCATTTCTGGGCCTTTTTTTTCTGTTTTTTTGGCAGAAAGCCGAGGACAGCGCTGGAACGTTCGAGTTGGATGAGAATACACATTGGGTTTCTGTCTCCCCGCCCTCCCCCATTCATTTCCAATCATCCTATCGGTGTCAGGTCACCGATAGCATGAAGTGACTTCAATTCGGAAATTCTCGCAGACAGCAGTGTACCACCTTGTATCAGAGAACATGGCCGGAAGATGATGTCATAGAACTACTCTTGAAATCGACTTCAGTAGCCGTCTGCATCTGCACGAGGACGACTTCGTGAATATGCCCTGCTAGGAATGTTGCGTCAGTCAAAACCAGCATTGTTAATTCTTACATTTGAGCTGCATTAAGTGAAAACAATCAATTTAAATGTGATGAGTCATTTTAGTGTGACTGACCAACGTGGGGAAGTATGGTCAAACAACCCCTGTGACGCCAAAATTTGTGATCGCAAGCTTCCGCCACGTCTGCCTACAACAAAATAATAATGCTGAATGTGCGGGCGATCACATCGGAGTTCAGCAGACCGAGAAGGCTTGAGCCTGGCCAGTGAGGGAGAATGGGGGAGAGCTGCCCGGGGAATACCAAGTGTTGTAGGCTCGCGCTGCGTGCCAGCCGAGCGTATGGCAGCGTTTATCAGTGAATCTATCTGTGCGTAGCTTCGAGCGTCACCCCCTAGCATAACGGGCGGTGGGTTTTCTCCGGGCTCCACGCTTCCCTGTGGGCACGAAACCAAAACCCTCACTGGTGAGGTTGGCACAATGTGGGGCGTAGGAGGAGGGGGGGGGGCGCCCTTCATCCACTGACAAGGGGAGAATAATCTCAAACGGCAGGGAAGGACCAGCGCGCACGTTCGTGGTTGCGACGAAACGTGCTGCCGTGCTTGTGGCGGCGTGGCGTGCGGGTTTGTTTGCTCGGCCCCACGTCTCCACGTCTCCACGCTTGGACTCTTGTGTTCTGTGGCCGCAGGACCACGGCGCCCAGGGAGACGAGCTTCTTCAACAAGATGGTGAAAACGGTGAGGGGACCGCTCCTCCGGCAACATCTGCTTCAGCTTGACGAGCGCCGACGATGCAGCGCATTCCTCACGTTATCGGTTTTTCCCCTCCCACGGCTATCTCGATTGCACAAGCAGCGTTGCGTCGGCGCGAGAGATTCCGTTCCGTGCTCTTACCAGCGGGCAATGCGGTCCTTCGTGTTAGAGAAGCGGCCCGCGGAAGCGGATATCACAGAGCTACCGCCGAGGTTCCTTCTATAGTGGCCTGGCCCGCACGGTAGAGGGCTGAACTTTGTCCCCCGTTCTGGCATATTAGATTTTGGTGTGTCGCATGGCAGTCAGACTGATATTTTAATAATCACAAGTGGGGAAAAAAAATCCCCAAATTGAGTGCAGAACCTGAGTTTTTCCCAGTCTATGTTGTCCGGGCTGAAACCATCAACATCTTTACAATTCTAAAACCTTGTTTAGTCACTGCCAGTTGATACCTGGGTTGAAGCCCAGGCTCTCGATGGTGGCAACTCAGCGCTCTGACCTTTGACCCACCCAGGCCCGCCCCTGCGATGAGGCCATCGAATGTAACCGTACGATCCAAACCTTGGCAAATTTCTCTAAACGTCAACATTGACGAAATGAACTTGGCGAAACAGACGTAAGGCACGGGAAAACAAGATTGGCACAGCAGAGGGGGCGGGGTCAGGGGGAAGATCTTACACCACACACAGGAAAATCCGTCGCAATCTGCGGCGCTTAGGAGACGTAGACGTTGGGGGGGGGGTCACATGAAAGAGTCTCTCCCCTCCGATAACGCCGTGCGGGGCGGCGCACAGTGGCAGCGCTCACAGCGAACGCCCCCTCACTATCTCCTCCACCGTCCTTCCTCCCCCCCGCCGCCGCCACCCCCTTCCAGGGCCGCAACGTGGTGGTGTTCTACGGCTCGCAGACAGGCACGGCAGAGGAGTTCGCCGGACGCCTTGCCAAGGACGCCCAGCGCTATGGCATGAAGGGCATGCCCGCCGACCCTGAGGAGTTTGACTTGGTGAGTCTACGCGGGCACGCGGCGTACGCCGTCGGATAAAAGCCTCCGCTGGTGGCGGGCAGGGGGGGGGGGTGGGTTGCGTTTGACCCTTGCCGTGCCACGCTGTTCAGTGCGGGTCGGGGGTCGGTGAAGTGGGGGGGGGGGGTGCCCAGCAATAACCGCCGGGTGCGGTTGTTGTTCGCCGGCTGCAACTGGGAATGGAACCCGGGTCGCTGGGTTCGTAGCGCAGCGAGGTAAACGCCGCACCAGTACACACTTTTAAACGCTCAAAAGTCGCAAAGTGATTACCGCCGTCATCGCTAGATTCTCCTATTTTAATTGCTGAGGAATGATCTCCCTTACAAAGCTGACACATTAACGTGGATTTCGTAATATGAAACCCACGTTAATGTGGCTATGAACGCGTGATTGTTTTTGACTTGGCGTCGCGTGGGGATGGAGGTGTAAGATGCGTCGTGTGTTTTGTTTCTCGGAGAGATTGAAGTCCCGAGCGCGGAGCCGCGAAGCGTTGGACTCGGCGTGCGCGTGGGAGGTGCCGTGGAGCCACGATTCCACATTCCCTTTGGCCTTTCCCTTTTTCCCCGCGATCAAAACAACCGAGAGTTCACTGTGGTTGTTTTGTTATCAGTTTAACACGTTGTAGGCTTTCGCGACCAATATCATCCATGACACAGGTTTTTTGGGTCAGATCGCATAAATACATAAAAGTGACGTTCAACCTGTTTTGTTTTCGTTATTATTTGGCGATTCTGCATTGGCAGCGGTAACACTGTGCGTGGCCTTAAAGGGAAGAAATAAATAGGTGACATTTCAGGCATAACTATGAAGAAGAGCCATTGCCCGAAACGTCACCTATTATACGTGTCAAGTTTCGTCGTTATTTGTTTTAAGTCAAAAGCATTTGCGGACGGTTTAACCGGAGCGTCTCGTCACGCAGTCGGAGCTGCCCCAGCTGACGAAGATCGAGAACTCGCTGGCGGTCTTCTGCATGGCCACGTACGGCGAGGGCGACCCGACGGACAACGCGCAGGAGTTCTACGACCTCCTGCAGGAGGGTTCGCTCGAGCTCGCCGGGGTCAAGTACGCGGTGAGTGCCGTCGCTCCCGAGCGGGGGCATGACGACGATGACGACGCTCGACTCTCCAGCGCCGTGCTCGCCCCCCCCCCCCCTCGCTCGGGGCTCGCAACGTCACAAGCTTCCACCACGTTTGCTTCCAGCAAAATCGTTGCAAGAGCGTGCGGGCGGGCGGGCGGGCGGTCGCGTCGGAGTTCAGCGCACCGAGCTGGGTTGAGCCTGGTCAGTGAGTGTTAATGGGGGGGATTTGCCCCGGGGAGTACCAGATGTTGGAGTCTCGCACTGCGATCCAGCCGAGCGTATGGCAGTGTAGATTCGTGAATCTATCCGCACGTAGCCTTGAGTGCCGGCCGTCGTATAACGCGTGGGGTGGGTGTTCTCGGGGTTCTTCGGTTTCCTATCCACACGAAGCATTCCCAATGCAATATCCCCCTGATAAAGAGTCTTGGGACTCGGGCGATTACTTCGCCAAGCAAGCCAGAGTCTCACAAGTCCTCTTTTGGAGGCTCTTACATTGCTATACTTCACTTCTCCTTTCCTCACATCTCCTACACCTTTAATAGTGCTGTTTGTTGCTGGCCGTTCAGGCCTACGCTCAGCCGTGACAAAGCAAAAAAAACGCAGCCAAGCCGATCGCTTTTGTTTGCCCTTCAGTAGCATGGCGGGGTCGCTTAAAGGTCGCGCGGTGGTAAACATCTACGTGGTGGCGATGGCGTTGCGCGCGTGCAGGTGTTCGGTCTGGGCAACAAGACGTACGAACACTTCAACGCTATGGGCAAATACCTGGACAAGCGGCTGGAGGAGCTGGGGGCCGAGAGAATCTTCGAGCTGGGATCCGGGGACGACGACGCCAAGTACGGCCGACGCCGCCACGCACGGCGACCAAACCCGCGAGCCCCCCGCCACCCACACGTGCCTACGCCTCCGTTCACCGTCGCTGTGTCCTTTCCCCCTTCCCTCCCCCCCCCCACCGCAGCCTGGAGGAGGACTTCATCACGTGGAAGGAGCGCTTCTGGCCGGCCGTGTGCGAGTATTTCGGGGTGGAGCCGACGGGAGACGACGCCAGGTGAGAGCCAAACGAGAGCTGCGTCATCTCCGTCTCGGGCCTGAACGGTGCCCGTGGGGTCACGTTCCGGTCTCTAATTACTTACTCTAATTACTCCGATGGGCCCGAGGGTAAATCGCCGTGGTCTACGCGCCTTTAACCGGAGGAAGAGGAGCCCTCTCGTCGTGGTCAGCAGCAGGGCCTCGACATTGGCATCGAGCTCCTGAACCTCAGTGCTGCCGCTGTCATTCGCAAGACGAGCGTTACTTCTGCTGTTGCAGAACGGTTTTGTCGGTCATGCGATTCGTATTTTCAAACATTGGCCGGCACAGGAAGTCTGTAAATCACGTAACCAGGGCAACACTGCGGTCAGCCGAGCGGCGAAAACGCACGGAACCGTGATGGTGGGTGTAGCGCGGCCCTTGTACTACTCGCGCTTTCCACGAACCTCCTCGCCGGGGAATCTCACCGCGCGGACCAAGCGCCCGCTCCGACTTGAACCATGGTACCGGTGCCCTCTCCATCGCCTCCCAGAGGCTGGGCCCAGGTCTCTTTATATCCTCACCGGCTCCTCGGAACTGGTCACCCACCACCTGTGCCATTTTGCTCGCTAAATCAAACGCAAATTGGCACGCGCCAGTGCAACTCGATTGTTAGCAGATTATCGTGCGAGCCTTGCTGAGCCTGCAAGTCAGGTGCGTGCGGTACTGAGCTCATTATTCAATGATCCACGCTTCAAACCATGGACGTGTAGCACGCACAGGTGTTCACAATAAGGGCGCTATTGTCTTGTCAGGCTAAAGAGATTCAAGGGTCTTGTGTCAAATACTTGTTTTGTGTTGGCACAGAAACACATTTCTTACTTGCGGTGTTTGCGAGACCTGGGGGGGGGTGAATCACATTCGTAACTCTCATTCGTAACTGGAACTTCCATCGTTAATTAACAAAACGTCGCGGCAATTGTAAGTTGGGTTCACCGTTTTGCTGTAATTGTATATTTTATCTTTTAAAAAAAATTTACGCCGCGAGACCAGGTATACATTCAGGTTGCTCGCAGTGCGATTCTTCATATTAGAGAACGCCCCATGGAAGTGGGTATCACAGACCTTCCTCTGAGATCCGTTCGTCAAGTGAAATCTGGTCCACACAGTCGAGGGCAGCGCTGTCGCATGAAGGTTAACCCGATATTTTAATTCGCAGAGCTGGAATTCATCTAAATTAACTGCAGAACTAAATTTAACGTGATTTCGTTTTTTTTTTCCCAATCAGTGGTCAGTGACCAGGTTGAGAGACCCTCAACTCGGTACATTTGAGGTCCCAGCTTAATCACAGGCGGCTGCACGCCGGATCGAAACCCAGGATCTCGGCAGTGCCTGCTCCGCCCTTTGACCTCTGAGCCGCACTTGGCCGCCAAATTGCTGGTTGCAATTACGGTCGACCTCTGAGCTGGCGGTTCGGCCAGATGTGATGCGAGCGCGTCCGGGTGTGTTCCTCCGTGTTGTGTCACCGCGGCCCAGCTCGATACGTTTGCTCGACGCGTGTGCCGTTGCCCTCGTCCTGTCGTTCCCAGCATCCGGCAGTACGAGTTGGTGATTGACGCCGACGTGAACAGCAACAAGGTGTTCGCCGGGGAGATGAGCCGCCTCAAGTCCTACGAGACCCAGAAACCGTGCGTAACCCTCCACCTACCCCTCCTCCGAGGTCCTTAGTGATTTTTTTTGACTCGCGTAGGTGCGGAGCACAGGGCCCAAAACGCCAAGTGCCCGGCAACAAACAGAACCGTCGTCGAAGTTGTAAATAGAGAAGAGCGTAACGCGTTTCCTGAATGGGTGGGTGGGTGGGTGGGTGAGTGACTGGGTGATTGGGTGGGTGAGCGGGTGGGTGGATGAGTGAGTGAGTGGGTGGGTGGGTGGTTGAACACAGTGTGGATGAGACAAATCAGTCCGTCTGGTGGGCAGCAGAATCTTCAGCATGGGTGGAGCAATCGATCAGTTAGAAAATTCAGATGGAAATAAACATTTTAAAGTGCAATGTCACCCGCAGCAGAGTAGAGGCACCCTCGGTCATCACGTGGTCTAAGGCTGACGAGCCTGCAGTAGCCAACCGATTCCACACGGACACGCACTGGGAGAGGCGTCGTTACTGATGAGTGCTCTACCAGCCTCCAATCCCCACACAGTGACCAGCAGCGCGTCCCGTCAATGGATCCACGTGTCGTTATATTGGGACGCACGCACAGTGGGCAGCAGTGGCGCAGTGGTCAGCTCGCTGTGCTCACAAACCCGGTTAGCCGTGTCCGATTCATGGCCCTGGCAAGCATCGGTGACGATCAACTCGGCCTCAAATTAGTACCTGGTGCAATGTGTAAACATCATTACTGAGAGACAAAGGTGGTTGGGCGTGGTACTGACCGCACCAGCCCCTCTCATGCCCCGTACTTGCCGTAATCGGTGCTCGCTGACAACACAACTGTGATTCTAGTCAACAACTCGACAACTCAACAACTCGACACATTCACCAACATTGTGGCCCTGAAATGACAAACGATGTCATTTGGGTGACGTTTCGGTCAGTGGCTCCTTGTCCATGGCAGAGAGAATCTCTGCTTTTTCCTGCTTTGAGAGCACATTCTGCAACAGCCTTTTGTGGGCTACACGGGGTTGGTTGTGGTTGTGCGGCCGTGGTTTGTGACGCCGCGATGAAGCCGCACCGCGTCGCCTCCACCCCCCCCCCCCCCAGGCCGTTTGATGCCAAGAACCCGTACCTGTCGCCCGTCACCGTGAACCGAAAAACCAACCGCGGCAACGATCGCCACTTCATGCACCTGGAGCTCGACATCTCGGGATCGAAGATGCGGTGAGTGCGGCGGCGGTAGTGGTGGCGGCTCTCATGTGGTGTCGTGTGGTGTCGCCCACGATATCCTCATTATTTATATTCATTTTTAAAAGTCGATTTTAGCCACATTGTGCTATCGGCGTAATGTCACGAATCCAAGGATCCAATGGGATCTCTCGCAGAGTGGTAAGAACGGCCCACATAAGCAGATGTCACAGAGCTACCTCTGAGATCACTTGAAGTGACCTCTGGTCCACACAGTCGGTGGCAGCACTTCCCTACCCAGCCTGACCTCTAACGTCTGAGCTACCCGGTCACCTCTTACTCTCTTGACATTAAGGCCCTCATCCTGCAGTGGATTGACTAACAGGGCTGCGCAGACACGAACATCATCATCGTCGTCGTCGTCGTCATTATTAACACCCACCTCCTCCTGCTGCTGCGCGTCCTTGTGCGCCGTCTCCGCTGCGCCGTGGCCCTCGTGAGCAGCTACGAGGCGGGCGACCACGTGGCCGTGTTCCCCACCAACGACGGCGCCCTCGTCGAGGAGCTGGCGCGTCTCCTTGGCGCCGACCTCGACACCGTTTTTTCGCTCAACAACCTTGACGGTATTCGGGGAGGGGCGGAAGGGGGCTGAGGAGGAGAGGGATGTTGGCTCTGTGTGTGTGTGCGTGTACGTTTATCCGGCTCTTGTTTTTTTTTTACTTCAATGCCCGCTTGCCGCTGTTTTGACGACATGGGTCAGAAACTTGGACATGAATGAAGAGGGGGCGGTTGTACCCTTATCGATCGCGGTCGGGGGAGGAGGGGTGGCGTGGGAGGGAGAGGAGGACCGGCACGTTGGCCGTGCGTGTGAATTGCCGGCTGTGTTTCCTTCAGACGTTGCGATATGCGGAGATTAAAGAGAACAAATGCGCCAAGATGCACGAAGAGATTGGCATGTACGCCGCGAGTCAGAAAGGCGAACACGTTAATGAGGTTAAAAGACATCGTGAAAAAACGTCAGTGGGATCGGGCAAGATGCGTCGCTGCGAGGCCAATGGTCGTGGATAATAACGGAGCAGGCAGCCAAGGGAGGGAACGCGACCCAAGAGGATGTCCATCGGGGGAGATGGAGCGACGAAATTGGCTCGTGCGTTGGCGCTGGGTGGATTGTCACATCGTGCGGGATCCTGGAGACTGTTTGGCGAGGCGTTCATCAAGCAGCGGATTGACCATGGCGCGTGACGGTGATGGACGAGTGCCGTTTGAACCACTCGCTCATTGCCGGAGCCTCGCTCGCTCGCGTTGCGCAACCAGCGCGTGACCTTCCCGCGCTCGCCGTGGAACAAAGCGACTCGAGGTCGTTTTCCGTCGACGTGACCAACGGCGCCCGTTTACATTTAACGGCCGTGCCGAGCGATGCCTTATCTCGTTCCGCTGTCAGCGTGGAGGCTGTCTTGTCGCGTGGGCTCCACCCCGTGGCTCCGGTGCGGGTGCGTGCGAGCGCAGGAGAGAGCGAGCGCAGGAGAGAGCGAGCGCAGGAGAGAGCGAGCGCACGCGTGTGCCCCAATCTCGCCGAGCGTGTGCCGGTAGACTGGTGTAGGCGGCACGCGACTTGGTCGTGGCCGCCGCAGCGAGCGGAGGTGTAGTGGATGCGGGGTGCCGAGGACACTGGACGGCGAACCCCGTAGCGTGACCTTGTTTAAGGGGGGGGGTGGGGGGGTGGCATGCAACGACTGGGGTGGAACATGACACCGTCAATGTTAAACAAACGTTAAGCAAACGTTAAACAAACGTTCAGCTTACCGATGACGATCTGCTTCTGCCTCTCGTGCATTCTGCTGTGTTCCCGGTGTTTAACGAGGAGGCGAATTGTACTCGGTCCTGCCTCCTACAACGATCGCAGACAGTTTGCACTTCATCACATAATAATAATTATTATTTATTTGATAGTCATTGACGTATTTGTCCATGAGAGCCACAACGAGTCGTATGATTCTTTTTCAGGGGGGCCTTGCTGCTGCTACTGCTGCATTGGGTATTTATCACGACGTGATTGTTTATTATTCTTATTCACGTGGGAGGAGGAAAGCGGAGCGCCTCGACGCTCGATTGAGCAGCAGGAAGTCAACCGGGACCCCCGCGCGTTCACCCGTTCACCCGTTCCGTCGCTTTTCACAGAGGAGTCGAACAAGAAGCATCCCTTCCCCTGCCCCACCACGTACCGCACGGCCCTGCTGCACTACCTGGACATCACCAACCCGCCGCGCACCAACGTGCTCTACGAGCTGGCGCAGTACGCGTCCGACCCCAAGGAGCAGGAGTTCCTGCGCCGCATGGCCTCCTCCGCCGTCGAGTGCAAGGTGGCTCCTCCTCTGCCTCTCGCCGAGTTCCTGCCGCTCCTCTGATCCCGACCTTTCTCTACGGGTCATCCTTCCTCTTCCTACTCAGATGGAGCCATCCCCCTCCCCTCCCTCCAATTCAACCACTCCTTGAGTGTTACTCCTCTTCTGGGTGAGCCATGTCTAACTCCTCCTCTGATTGCATTCTATCCTAACCACTCTGATAATGAACGAGCCCATTGCTCGTTCTCTCCCAAATCAACCATCCCCACCCTCTTTCACGTGAACCGCTATCCGCGACGGTCGAGCGGCCGTACCGGAGGACCCGGCGGACCGTTTGGTGACCCGCGGGAGAATGCCCTCGTGGAACATATTTACGTTGCTTTGGTAAAGTCCGGAGAGCCGCAGTGTAAATATTGAACCTCGAGGGACTGCAGCGCTGCACCACAGCCGCCGTTTGAACACGGACGGCGTGCGGGCAAACGCTGGCGTCGTGGTCGGAGACTCGCCGAGGTGGCGCCGGGTGGCGCCGGGTGGCGCCGGGCGGGGCGCACCTGCCGCTGCCCACGTGGTGATCGCGTGGCCGTCTCCGCGTGCAGACCCAGTACCAGAACTGGGTGCTGGACGAGCGGCGGCACATCCTGGCCATCCTGCAGGACCTCCCCTCCGTCAAGCCTCCCATCGACCACCTGTGCGAGCTGCTGCCGCGACTGCAGGCGCGCTACTACTCCATCGCCTCCTCGGCCAAGGTGAGGGCCCGCACGGCGTCGCCCGGCGCTTGACGCGTTCACACGGTCCGCACACACGCAGCCAGCGCGCGCGCGCCGCTCACCTTCGCGTGTCCCGCTCCTCGCCGGCACAGGTTTTCCCCGACAGCATCCACATCTGCGCCGTGCTGGTGGAGTACAAGACTCGCTTGGGGCGCACGAACCGCGGCGTGGCCACCAGCTGGCTGCAGGGGCGCTGCCCCTCGCAGAACGGGCACAAGCCCACGGTGCCCGCGTACGTGCGCAAGTCCCAGTTCCGGCTGCCCTACAAGCCCAGCTCGCCCATCATCATGATCGGGCCCGGCACAGGCCTTGCGCCCTTCCTGGGATTCATCCAGGAGCGCGAGTGGCAGAAGCAGCAAGGTTCGTGGTGCGGGGTCGCACTGTCACCGTTATTTAACCGTGCCGGCCTTCATAGGTGCTCGCTACAACAACGCTTTCCCCAAAAAGTCTTGTCAGGGCTATAAGGGGTGGTGGGTGGTGCTTTGTCTTTGTGTCAACACGCTGCACAGGCAAGGAGGTGGGAGAGACGGTTCTCTACTTCGGCTGCCGTAATCGCAGCACGGACTTCATCTACGAGGAGGAGCTCGAGGCCTTCAAGGAGAGGGGCGTCCTCACGCAGCTCCACGTGGCCTACTCCCGCGACCAGGAGGAAAAGGTTCGAGAGGACTCGTTCATTCGCCGCCTCGTTCAGAATATTGACTCTCGCCCGACTTGGCGACGTCACGATGATCGACGACGATGTTAACAGCGGTCGTTTGCTCAGCACTCCGTGAATCCACTGCTGGATGAACACCTCCCTCCATGCCTGATCTGTGGATTGTTGGGGGTTGGTTGTTTGACCATTATTCACCACGCTGGTCAGTGCGTGTTGGTGACGAAGGGAGGGTGCCGAAGGCAGGTCCAGACGCCTCTCACCTCCGATGCCAGCCGTGTTGGGGAATTGAGCTGCAGTTGCCGAGTTCGTAGCGTGGCGCGGTGACCACTGCGCCTTCGCTCGCCGTAGACGTGTGTACGCCTGATAATGAAATAATTAATCGTGTGAACACAATAAGTGTTATCCTCTCACTTGATACAGCTATCGTGCTGTGACTGTTCCACCTGAAGACGGAGGCTTGTGTTGCTTCCGAAACGTCGTGATTTTTATTTTACTTTTATTAATTTTAATTTTTTACCTACGTGACTTTACCGAAAAAACCTAAGAATATGAATCCTTGCAGTCACGAAAGCTTCAAATCTAGAACACAATAAGCGTGTTTCACGACGAGCCCGATACGATGTTAGGAAGCGATGTTTGTTTTGTGAACCCAGTTTTGTTAACCTTCCGTGCCCTTTGCGGGCCTGCTGCACACGTGCCTGTCAGGTGTACGTCCAGCACCTGCTCACAAAGAACAAGGAGAACATCTGGCAGCTTCTGCAAAGCAACGCACACATCTACGTTTGTGGGTACGTCACCCCAAAGACAAATATCTTCCGCGTGGGGAGACTAACAGACTATTGGGGCAAGTGTCACTCGGCCTCGCACGAGTACGCGCTGCAATCTCTCAGCATCGTCACTGCGGAGACAAAGGTGGTCGGCCGCGATGCCGGCTACCCCACCCCCTCGTGGGACGTGATGGCCTTAAAGGCACTCGCTAACAGCACTTGCCCCAACAGTGTACGTTACCCCATACGTACACACGATCGAGCACACCACCTCACGCCACAAAAATAAACGTCTGGCCAAGTCGGTCTGAAGTTTTACACACAAATGAGTGTGAATCGATACTCATCCCCTACTCACTGGCCCGAGCTGAGGAAATTCCTGTGGCAGAGTCCAGTTTCGGTCGACCAATTGGCAGGAATTCAGCGATTCAGATTTATATTTACTTGTATTGTATCCATTAAAGAGTGCATATTCATGTTAAACAGAAGAAAAGAGAATGATTTGCTAATGTTACATCGGTAGCGACTTATTGAAGGGGTCGATGTGACCACAAGCAATTACGTTTATATGGCCTAGGTTATCACGAGTGTGCAATATTCGTGCATTGTGAGCTCTGTTACACAATCATAGATTACCGACAGAACTGGTTGCGTGTCGACGGAGCATCTCGATCGTGCGGCAGCGATCGTAGCGAGTTCCACTTTGATGGAACCGCCGACGGAAAAGCTGCGAGCTCCAAATGTCGCCCGTCCGAGTGCGCGGAACAACCGAGTCTCCGTGAGCCTCCGGGAATCAGAAGCGGCGGAAGTTACAAAAAAATAGTTTTTTAATCAAGTGCATTGACAGTGGAGGCTGAGTCACGGCACGTCTCACCTTTGCCCCCCCCCCCCCCCATGCAGAGACGCCAAGAACATGGCGCGGGACGTGCAGGCGGCCATCTCGGAGGTCGTGTCGGAGTGCGGCGGCCTGACGCAGCAGCAGGCCCTGGACTTTGTGAAGAAGCTGCAGACCAAGGGGCGCTACTCGAGCGACGTGTGGAGCTGAGCGCGGCGACGCAGCTCGGGACAAGTTCCCCCCCGTTGAGGCGCGTGGAGCGGCAGAAGGGCGTTTAATTTGGAATTAACGATCGATCATCCAACTAATCTATCTAACCGGGCAGTCCCAATGGGGTTATGCTGTCAAGTTGACGTTTTGACAACTTATTCAATTGCCCAATCGCCATTCGGCACTAAAGGCGTTGTGTGGCTCTAATTTTACGTGGTGAGCACCGTCGTTACACGCCGGGTAAAAAGGATGTTTTTTTATCATTTAAAATTTGGACTTTTCAGATTTTTATTGGCTGCAGGTGTTCAGCCCTAATCGTTTTTATTGTTGCTGAAATGCCTACGAAGCTCTCGAAAGCAAAACTTTTTTTTAACCAATCTTAGTAACTGTCACACCCCCCCCCGCCCGACCCTGACGGCGAGGAAAGTAAATTGGACGCGGCCGTTCTACGCCGTCCGGCCGGCAGAGGACACGAGACTGTGATCCTCTAACTCGGGAACCCCCCCCCCACCCCCTGCCAACTCATTCCCACACCCCCTGCCCCCAAACGGCGGCAGCATCAGCCGCTCACGTGAGGAGTGCCTTTTTAAAATGGTGTTTAAATTACACGCTCACGCTCTCCTTTAGAAACGGTGCAATCTGCGTTGTGCGAGCAAAACCCCAATCGCGGAAACCCGCGTCGATCCGCGTGGTCGGCCGAACGAACGGGAAACGCAATGGCCGGGCGAGGTTTGTTTTGAGATGCCGCGCGCGACTCGCAATCGTGGCCAACGGATACCTAGCGCAATCGTTTGCTTTTTAGAAGTTCCACGCAACCCGAATAAAAAAATATTTTTTTAACGGAGCGAACGTATTCCACTGGTGGAGTCAACAACGCAAGCAGTGCTACGGCAGAGGTGCGAACCCGTTCACGGTCGTGAGCGGCGGTAGCGTCGACGCCGCCTGTGATATTTACAATGCTACAGAGCACTTTTGATCATTTGTCAGAGGGAATCCTGTTATAGCGTTGGTCTTTCATCAGTAACTGAAATAGCATTTTATACAAAACTGGCAGTGCAATGTGTCGTATGTGTGTCAAGAATGAAGAGTAGCCGTTAAGTTTAGAGTCTGTAAATGCTGTGCTAAGGTAGGCGTGCGCTAAGATGAAAGGGAGAGCGGCAGCTGCTTATTCTAAGTCAAATCTGTCGGCGGTTCTTAATTGTCGTACGCTCCGATCGGCTGTGGTTTTATTTTTGGACGGATTTACATGTACACTTTGTTTTAACGTTCCGCAAAAATTATTTTAATGTGAAATAAAGGTCTGTTTAACGAAACAGCTTCCGCGGGGGTTCCGTGCTACTCGCTCGCGACGCGTCGGCTGCTCGAACCCAAACGACGCGCCGCGAACTTCTGGGCACGTGACCGGAGCACCGTCACGTCAGTCAACCCCCCACAGCGTGCAGAACAAACGCTCGCCCACGTGGTGCCGTCAGCAGATGGCAGAGCAGCGACGCACTCTCGAATCTATCATATGCCTGGATACTCCGGTTTCATCCCACATGCCAAACATTCACATGGGATTGGCCAAACACATCCAAATGTAGGACCCTCCTGAAAAAAATTGAACTGAAGTGAGGCTTTCCTGGGTAAATGAAGGGCATTACATTTATGCCTGCGTTAAAATAATCTCTCCTGGTTATGCCATATAATTACAGCCCATGTAAGCGTATGACTACACGCACACGTTACTCGTGTATTCGCACTTAAAACATTTTAAAAACCGCACAACAAACAGATCCTGAGAATAGGGTTGTAAATTTATTGTCCTTTATATAAAATGTACTATAATACACGGGGCAAATACTGCATGTTAAACAATACACAGCATATAAACATATGTACATTTAAAAAAAAAACACGGGCAAAATAAAGACAGGCCAAGACGCTGCCTTTTAGCAATCGGACAAAAGGGACAACACAGAAGGGCAGAATGCAGGCAACCGAAACGGGGCCGGCCTCTTTAACATCCACTCCCCGTGACAGCCGAGCCACGCGTGGCATAAGAAAGGTTTGCCTTTACAAAAACGTAAGAAAAATAAACCCCATCAGAAACAATACAGTACAATATGTACAAGAACTAAGGCTAAGGGCCAACTGGACCGGTGGGGAGGGGGGGGGGGAACGAGAGCTCGCCTGGGGTTCCCAGCTTTCCCCAAAGGCCAGTGGGATTCGTGTCCCCCCCCCCCCCCCAAATTGTCACGAGCGCCACTGCGGCCCCCCTCTCTCTCGCAGTCTAAGAAGTCACCACTTGAGGCAGGAGCGTCCGTCGGGAGCAGCCTCCACGTGCCTCGCAAACGACGTATACCGGCGGCGGCGCAGGCGAGAGGTTTTTGGAAGAGAGCAGCCCCCCCTCCCCACCTCCCCCCAAGCTGCCACTTTCGCCATGGTTTTTAGATGGAAGCGACGGGCCAAGTATCCGTGGCTGCTGGCGATCCGGCAGGAGTTACCTTATACTAGTCAGGAAATGAAATCCAAAATGCCCTGAGCACTGAAAATCAAACGATTCTGTTGAGCAATCACATTTGCCAGCTTCATGCCGTTGCGATTTTATTATTATTTTTAAACGACAGCAACACGGCAGATCACGCAACGGCGGGAGGCGCGTGCACGGGCGCTCGCCGATAGCGCCGTCGCACCGACACGCGAGCCGCCGAGTGCGACGGACGGTTGCCGCCGAGGTGCAGGTAGACACGGGCCAAACGGCGGCGCGCGCCCCTCTCTCTCATTGTGTCTTCTGAGGTTGCTCAATTCGCTGACCTCGCGTAAGTAAACTGTCACGGCGACCACATAAATAAGCGTGCGACTGACCGAGGGGGATCGGAGCACGTCACTTTGGTCACACGGGTGGGGTGGTCGACAAGGACGTGAAGAAGATGGAACACAACTCTCCCACCCCTCCCCCCGGCCCCCTCTTTATTCTGCAGGCTCGTCCAGCGGCGAGGGTCGCCGCATCACCGAGACCTCCCCTCCCCCCACCTTGGCATTATTTTTCCAGGGCACAGAGAGACGGCGGCCGATCATGGAAATGCCAGCTCGGGGCACGGAGCCGCTCCCGCCGGTGGGAACGCCGCCACGGGAAGGCGTAAATATCCACGTGTGCCACGCGGCGTGCCGCGCGACGCCCTCCCCCCCACTCCCACGGGCAGGAGGACGCCGGGACAGGAACCGGTGCCTGGTAGGAACGCCGACGCCGCCGCTTCCGCCACCGCCGGCGTTGGGCTCAGTTGAGCGTACCGCGGCAGTGCTCCGCTCCGCACAGGCAGGGAATCTTGTTCTCCTCGATGGGGAATTTGTAGTCGTAGGTGATCTCCTCGTTGACGTTGATGGCTTGCTTGGAGTAGATCACGATCCTCTTTTGCGACTCCACCGTGATGACCTTGGCGTAGCAGTTTGGCTGTGGATCGGCAACGCAGAGTCAGGCACGGTGCCCACACGGCCACCCGCGCTGCCGTGGTGACCTTCGGGTGTCATTTTGGCCGAGCAATGAGCAACTGAACAAAGGCGGCGTGTGTTACAAGGCAGTAGTCGGGGCCTCTGCCACTCTCCCATACACGACCTTTCTCAAGTTAAGCAGTGCAAGTTCTAAACGTTTCTGACCATCTTTGACCACAATTTAAAGCAAAGGAAAAAAGTGAGCACGTGAGCGCTTCCTAAATTCCGAAAAATGAAGTTTGACAAGTCTCCAAAAACCTTAAAATCATCGATGATGCCGTTCTCTTCCCCTTCTCTTAACTTCGCAGGACTAATTATGGACGTAATAATATTCCCAGCCACAGCCAACACCAGCGGCAAATTAATCGATCCTGGGCCATTCGTTTGCCAACCCGCACTGACCGGCGTGGTGAAGTATGCTCAAAACAAACTCCATGACCGACAGCCCCAGGGGAAGGCCTTTACCCAGCGGTGGACTGAAAAATGGCCGCGATAATTACGCTCGCGCGATACTCACGTTGCAGCTGTGGTTGATGAAGCGCGCCAGGTTTCCGACCTTGGTGGCATCGATGATGGTGTCGTGGTCGACGCGGAACAGGTAGCTGCTGCCGATGCCCTCCACCTCGTACCGCTTCTCCCGCATGTCGGCCACCAGCTGCGGAGCACGCGGAGCGTTCAACACGTCAGCATCACCGTCGCCAAGCAACGATCGATTCACTGCAGGATAAAAGCCCCCCCCCCCCTCGCCACCAAACTGCAACCATCAAACTCTCACGCTGCGACGTAGCAACCCATCCGGTACATGCACACGGGATGATTTCATCGCTCCATCTCCGACGGTTGACGTCCTCTCGAGGGCGAGTTACCTCCTTCGGTTGCCACTGACGTTAAGTTTTTGACCGCCGACTGTAACGTCTCTTCCAGCGACGCACCCTGGCCTAGCCCAGTTGCTTTTCTTAACAGGTATAAAAATGTCGTTAACCTTGCGCATATTATGTCATAACCGATTTATAACTGTAGAATCCAAGTATTGTTGGACACTAATAAACTGACAGACATGCAGACTGCATCCACAATGTGGGACCATTCTGAAAAATTATTTAGCAACTCAGCCAGGCCTTCCTGGATAAACAAAACAGTCAAAAACCAGACGCAGTAACGATCCAATTGTACTTTGTACTTATCGTAGATATCCTGCCAGAACTTCAACAACAAAGGGAGATTTGAGGATGCAACGCAAGCAGCTAACGAGCGCGCGGACACCCGGCGGTGAGCGTGGGCACGGCGAGGCTTACCTGTCGGATTCCCTGCCCCACGTACTCGATGACCATCTCCTCGGCAGCGATGGGCTCCAAGGCGAAGAGCCCCCACTCGTGGATCCGGCTCTTGGTGAAGCGCAGCTTCTTCTTGCGGAACTACCGGCGAGAACGACGCCGTTTTAACACAAACAAATCCCCTTCCCCGAGCACCATCCTCTGGCTAACTCAGGGGTCGAGCAACCGAACTAACAAGAAGAGCCCTTTTTTACAAATTCGGTACAAAATTCAAATTGTCAAGAGCCGCAATGCACGTGAAGACATACGTCGTACAGAGACGTACGTACATTACGTCACGAAGCAGTCTGTCAAGAGCCGCAGGTTGCTGACCCCTTGGCTAACTCAACACTTGTCTTGGGAAAAAAATAAACACCCCCTTCTGCACCGCAATCTCCAAACTCGCAAAACTCTCCGTCTTGTACAGCAGGGGAGGGGGGCAATCTACGTTCCCGTGCAACTTCATTTCATCAGGCTTGCGGCCACGCTTCTGAATGATAATCATCCGTCATTGGAAGCGAGTCGGCTACGAGAGGGAAACGTTCTGGACCTGGCAACACTGCGTTTGCAATTTTGAGACTAGTTTGGTGAAAGCCGCCCACCCTACCCCCCTCCCCCCACCGTGGATGTCCCGGTGCTGCCCTGGCTGTCCCCGGCCGACCCGGGGCTCGATGTCGTTGTTGTCGTTGTTGTCGTTGTTGGTGCTGGGCCCTGGTTGCTACGTCCGGAGCTGTGCCGCGCTGTTGTTCTCCTCTCTCTTGTATTTCCCTGCCCTAACGCCTCCAACACAACCCCAACCCCCTTCAACCCGAATGTAGATTGAGATGCTAAATACTATTCACCCATTGCTATCAATCCCAGAAGCAGGTCTGAGACTGTATAGTGTTTGGATAAGCGACCACCATGTATAAAGCACGTGTTGCAGGCCGCTGTCGGGCAGCAGAGGGCAGTGCAGTAAAAAAAATGTACGCACATTTAGAGATTAAACGCTTTTTGCAGAACCCAGCTACTCACAAGCGTTAACAAGAACTACATCCTGTGATCATATAACGCCCGTTTTGGCATCTTTGCATTGCTTGCATGTGAAACACAGGTATGGTTTTAAGGTTCTGGTATGAACATACAAGGCCCTGAATGGTCTGGCTCCCCCCGTTGGACCCAAGAGATCCGCTTGCCGTTCCGTACCCGGCACGTCACCTCCGTTCGTCAGACTCCGGTCGACTGCTGTACCCCAACACAAATGCTCGACCGCAACACGACCAATGGACCCCAACACGAGGCTTGTCTCCACGGTTGGCAGTGCATTATTTTCCTCCACTCCAAGATCGGAATCATTGCCCAAGGCCATCGGAGATTCAGATACCAGCAGTATTTTTAAACTTCATCCTAATACTTATTTTTATTCACTGGCCTTTAAAATTGTGTTTTTTTTTCCTTTCACGGTTATTGTTTTGCATTTCCCTTTTTATTTGTTTTAGATTGCACGGCTTTGGGACGTTGGTGTTTGTTCAAAGCGCTGTACTAAAAAT